GGACACATAATTGGAAAACACATGAGACTTTTCATGCTTTGAAGATCACAACTTCTTCAGTGCGCCAGTTTTGCACAACCCAAAATTTTTGAGAAAATCCTCACTCTAAAGAAGAAATGAAGCGTTCCTCTGAAGGCCGGTTAGCTTCAAGAAATATTTCGGATCAGTTTTTGACAAGCGAACCTCTGAACCACTCAAAAACTCGATTCCTTAAGTGTCGTTGTACCGAGATTATTCGGGAATTTTGAAATCCTTTCAGGGCGCATCTTCTCTTTCTCCAATGCCGACTCGCCCTGGTTTCAACGACCCTTCCCCTCCACCAAGCGAGCAAATACGACCCCAACCGCCCATTCTCTCAAAAGTGCTGCACCCTGTAGAACAGCTACATGTGTTACCTTTGCAGCAAACGATCAAAAAGGCTTTCCCTTACACTACACGTGACATATGAAAACTATTTAGTTCAGATAAGTGATCGCTAATCGATCAGCGCCACACCTAGTCGATAAGTATGATCAGCCAAAGCATGCTGACTGCCTGCGAGCTAACTTGAGTATCGTGTTTCAACATCAATTTATTTGTTGAAACGTGCGCCCTAACAAAAGACACTCTCATACGCCTCGTACACTGATGCGGGACAGCCGCACCCGACAAAAAAGAATGCGGATGAAGTGGCATCTCGTCGGCGATGACGTAGCATGCGCTCCAATGCGCTTGCTCTTCGTATAGGAATAACTTTGACATTTCCAGCACGACGACATAAACGAAAACCAAAACGACGAAAACGTGATCGTCGTTATCACCAAGCGCTTGCTCAGTGCTTATGCGACATTGATCCATTAACTGCTGAACGGAAAGGTTCATGCTTTGCCGCTTACAAAGGAAAAGTGGCAGTGGATATCGCTTTGTCACCGAGAAGTCTTCACGCCTCCAGATGTCTCTGTCAACTTGACATGGTCTCGAAGACGCTGTGGCCATGCTTTCCATGTAGGGACATTTGAAAACTATTTAAAACCCATGATCCTATCACAAGTGATGAGAACCTTTTTCAGACAATACATGGAAGGAAAGAATCTGCACCGAGTGTGTGGATGACAATGGTCACTGCCCAATGCGATTTTATCACGGGAAAGAGCCATTCGAGAATATCAAAGAGATGGCCGACTTATGCCTTTGTCACAAAGAGTACAATCACTGTGTGTCCAGTCGAGATGATGGCGTGATCATTGAAATAGATCCTAACGACGAACTTGACACTCTGAATGTTACTGCACGTACAGAGTCTCAAATAAAGTTGAAACAGAGAATCACTACGACAACGACCACAGAAGCACCGCAAGTGACGCAAGCGCTTGGATTTGAGGTGAGAGATTAACGAGTTCGTTTGACTACACAAGCATTCACAGCAGCCGATCGCCTTGTTTGAGAATCTGACCGATGAAATCGCTATCGTCACACAAGCCCAGCAGAATCTGATGTTCGCTGTCGGTTCCATGACACCGGAACAGAAAGAGGGCATGTCTCACCAGCTAGACGAGTTCGTTCTCAAATGCTCATTCAATCAAAAGGATTGTGACATGAAGAGGTATGTAGCTTCTGTTTCAGTGTTAATCTTTATTTGCTGTTGTTTCTGAATTGATTTTTCTTTAAGGGTCTTCCATTCAATTTTAATATTCATCTTTATGAATTTTTTCTATTCAGTCTCAATATTGTGCTTGCTAGAAGCCTCAAGAATATTTGAATTTGTGAATAACACAGACAGACTCTCAAAGTGTTTAGTGCAAGGGAACTCACAAGTTTGACTCTCTTCAGAGACTTTTGAGTTCTTGTGCAACAAACAAGGACCATAAGGAGGACCATTTTTTGTTATTTACAACTTTTAGATGTCTTTCAGTCGAGTTTTACAAAAAGAAATGTGTGCTATAATTTGATCTTTCGTGCTTGCTGTCTTTCTCACAGTGCTATTTCTTGCTCGTACTTTATTCCCTTCAGTTTTCATTGGAGACTGCTCGCTGAGCCAACACCTCAATTTTTTGAGAATTATTTTACTTAGCACAATTTTCCTAACAACCATGCTATTCTTGCCTACCCCAAAAGTGTCCTGGAGAGGGCTAGGCCTCCAAGTTTCTAAGAACGTGTGGCAACTAAGCAACAACCAGATGTGCATGCCCCTGCCCTAGCAAGACGTTTTTCGATCCAAGTGTTACAAGCTATTCGCTTTCCCACTATGTTTCCCTTCACCGCGAGCTCTAGTAGGTAGTTTTCGAGTTTGACCGCAGCCGCTCGATCCCAACTTAGGTCGGTCACAGGCTTTCTGCAACAGATTTCGTACTAGCTTCAATTCGCTTTTGCGCCGTCACCTTATTCCGCTGAGGCTAGTGTTATTAAATGATCACTCAAACAGTTACTTCGACCATTTCTTCATCTGCCTGGAATGTGTTTTTATTTTCTTCATTTTGTTTTTTTTTCGTCTGTGCTTGTTTCGTTTCGGCTTACATGTGATGAAACGCATTTTGACTACTGCATCGCAGCGCCGCAGTCACTTTGTTAGCGGTTTCTTTCTTCGCGTTTTTTTCAATTTTTACCTTATACTCAACTCCACGATCTGTGAGAGTTCATCATAGCATTATCCATTCCACCTTTTTGTTGCATCGCATCCAATCATATCTAATCCACCTTTCTATTGCATTGATTACAAAATTTTCCTGTTTGAATCCTTCGTCCTCTGTCTTCACAGTAACTTATTCATCTACCAGAAGCGAGCCATCCCATTTAATTTCTGTACTTGGTAGCAATGGTTTTATACTGCCTTTCGGTGCTATCGTAGTTTGTGATAGCGACGACCATATGCCGTCGTTGGGCGATAACGAGCTCTTACTGTTAGGCATGTCATTTGACAATTTACCATTTAGTGGAACGTCAGATGCTGTATAATATGTCATGACACTTTGAAAACGAGTTCACAATCAATTGGGAAGCTGCTATAACACAGTGTGATGGGCTATTTTTTTGCCGTGGGCCAAGTTGCATTCTATCTCCATACATGCGATCATTCAGTGCTTGATTGACACTAGATATATCGTTAGCAGATTGAAGGCCATGGAACACTGGGTGCATTAATTTGAATGCACACCTAGCCCCTTTACGCTTTTTCATTGGTTCCCATGCACTTCTTCTGCCTTGGTTTTTCTTAGGTAATCGCACACGTGCGAGCTGTTCCACGCGACCTACTACAGTACATTTTTATGGCTGAAAAACGGAAAATGGAAATCTCTTTGAATGGAATAACGGGGAACGTTTTTTTGTTCGAATACGATCTTTGTGATCACGATTCGATAATTCCTAGGGTCTAGATGACGGATCCTTAGAATTCGGGAAGTATTCAGAAGGAAAACTTCGCTCAGCACTATTTGACATGAATAACGAATAATGAGCTTCATCTATTACATTTTTTCTGTGACACTTCGTTCCTCTCGTTATTAATTATGTGATCACATGGCACCGAATGATCGCTTATTTCCCATTACACCCGGAAAAAAATTAACAAAAACCTGTGGATTGTTCGATCTGCATGTGCCGCAGCATAATATACCCATCAGTGCCCCACTATTGGGAATTTGGACCGCTTCTGAGCCAATCCCTCCTAGATCACAACTTCGTCCAGGGGTTGTCTGAACTCCTGAAGAAGAGCATTTTAATTGCTGCACTCAAAAGCGACTGGAGCCCGCGCCAAAATAGCTAAAGGCAACGTGTATGCTGAAAACGTGCAAATGTGTGAGTCGATCTCCCGAACACGAATACCACCTATGTTTGGAGCAAAAACACCTGGTGAATTCAATAGAAGTTCGACGCCTAAGCTAGCGGTGGACCTCGGTGCTTATGGTGACGGGCGTTTTCGCTACAAGTGAATCCGATGTTGGTGTTTTATGGGTCAAGAGACCTCCATAGACAAAATTCCCACCAAATGCACCCTACAGAGAGGTTTCGCCCAAAACGTAGCCCGGAAGAATGGAGCACCGACACTGTCTGCCCGCCTCATGTATATGCACGCTTCTGTCACTTCAATGCTCCCACAGATCTCTCATCTATCCTGTGTGAACCGATTCACTGTAATAAAGGAACAAAGCTCTGCCCCTAGACACCCCCCCCCTGCTGCAATTACGCGTGCAAGAACGACTTGGAGAGGTCCAGTCAAGGTGGGGATAGGTAGGGCATGGGACAAGAAATAAAAAGCACACTTGACCTATGGGAAGCCCCGCCCACAGTGGGCGGGGCACTCGCCGAAAGTTTGGGGTTCCGCAGAAAAATGTTCATAATTCGCTTCCGGAGCAGCTTAAAGATGGGGAAAAAAGGGACTAAGGTTAGTAAGGAGTCGCCAGACTAACTGTGGCAGGTACACCCTAAATGGGCGGGGCGTACTCAAGGTGGGCGGTGCTTCTCGCAAAATTCAGTAACCCGGTTCGCGAGTGTTTGGAAGTCGCAAAAAACTCAGTGTAGAATGTAAATATCTGGCGAATATAGGGCACGCTCAAAGTGTGTTGAGACCCGCCCACAGTGGGCGGAGCTTGCCCGAGGTGGGCGGAGCCAGACAAAAAAGGTCTGTAAAACGGTTCCAGAACACTCCAGACACCGGAAAAAAGTGGATTAAGGTCAGCAGAGGGTCGTCGGTGAGGATTGTGGGGCAAAAACATTGTGGGCGGAGCCTGCTCCGAGGTGGGCGGAGCCAGACAAAAAGGTCTGTAAAACGGTTCCAGAGCACTCCGAAGACCGGAAAAAAAGTGGATTAAGGTCAGCAGAGGGTCGCCGGTGAGGATTGTGGGGCACAAACATTGTGGGCGGGGCCTGCTCCGAGGTGGGCGGAGTCAGACGAAGAATCTGTAAAATAGCTCAAGAGTACTTCAGACACCGGAAAAAAGTGGAGTACAGAACAAAAGGCGGATATCAGTTGAGTCTAGAAATATGTGAAAGAAAATACGCGCGGCGAAGCCGCGCCGCCCGGCGCAGCCGGGCCGTATCAGAAGGAGGCGCGCCGGCGTTAGCCGGCGAGCCGACTGGTAAATAAATAAATAGGGCAGCACAGTAAACGAAGAAGAATTCCACTGACGAACTAAGACGAACCATATCCCAGAAAACGGAAAATCCCCAACTGGCCTGATAATGGTCTTTGTAGAGCACTAGATCATGTTCTCGATCCAGATCTTCCTTTTAGGGTAATCAATAACGCCTGTACACTTGTTCGCTTGGGATATAGGGGCGTGTCAGTCGGGATAAGTTTAGCGCGAAACCCGTTCCAGAAGCTCGCGAAACCTGTTGTTGAAGCGGGTAAGCGAATATAGGCGGTGGAGAACGACTGATACGAACGATATGATACAATCTTGTTGCGTGCTCGCTTCAACCACAAAAGAAAATGGATTTGGCGCCGCGTCAAATTGACTCGTCTAACACGCTCCTTCCAGCAAACAAGACTGTAGGCCTCCAGGGTTTCGTGAGAGTCAGAAGCATTTGCGTTTCAGAGAATTCAATTGAATTGGTCTCTTTGTCTTTCCACTTAGCAGTTAACTAATTTTCCTCATAAATGGAATCAGCAGGATGCACATTTTTGAATAATAATTTCACCCTGAAAAATTACTGACAGGGTATTTTACGGAACCGGTTTAAAAACCCATTTGCAGAGATTTCACCTTGTACTACGATAACACCTATGGGAACTGCTATACGTTCAATCATGAAGGAGCATCGTCGCATAGGGCAGGAGCGAATTACGGTAAATCCAGTAGCTTAAGTTCGACGCTTGCTAATCTGATCGAGCAAAAACCAGGTCTGAGAATTCTTCTGTACGCCAACGTTAGCGAATATCTGCCAACATCAGAAGCGGTGGGATTTCGGATAACAGTTCACGACCGGCACATTGTGCCCTTTCCAGATGCTTTTGGTTACAGTGCTCCTACAGGATTTATGTCTTCTTACGGAGTCAGAATGGTTCGTTTCCCCGCCTTGAAGGAAAACGATGAAATTATGAAAGTGCAGTCTACGCTGACAATGCGGGCGGAGACAGTCAACCACTAACTGACGCGTCCATCTTCTTACAGCCCTGGAAAAGGCTTGACACTGAGGAAACATAATGGTTGACTTTCTCTACCCAAACGATCAACGTAGAATGTGCCTCCACTTCTCAATACAATTCGAATATTTCAGAAACAATTCATCCGTCTAGTTGCACCACATGGTCACTGCAAAGAGGGTGGGGAAGGCGATCCCAATTTCATCTACAAGGGATTCAATTACTCGGTCGAGGTGAATTTAACGTCAGTCGACAAAAATCTTGTACTCCCAAGCACTGCTTTTTATAGGCCTGCCATCGAAGTTGTGCGCAAAAGGTCATAATAGAGTTGTGCAAGTGTGGAGATCCGATGTTCCCCATCCCGAATGGTAAGGGAGTGGCAGCCTGCCGTGCCACCGATATGGTTCAACGTGATTGCCTTCGAAATGCAACACTTCACCTTGGAGAGTTGTATTCTAAAGAGAAAGGCGGGATTCCTGGATGTTACTGCCACCAACCTTGCAAGTGAGTTGCAGCTTTTTTGATCGTATAATTTTAGGCAAAATGCTGTAAAAATGAGCAAAATCCTTTTGTTCCGAATTTACGATTAGCGCTGACCGAGCTGATGATCAGTCAAGTATTCCAAGAGAAAAAAAACCCAACACCATGTGGTCTTCTCAGAGGCAGGATCCGCGAATAGGCGCAAAACTTCTCTTCCTCTGCGATCCAGTAGCTAGTAGCAGCGCTTCTGCGGCGCAGGACTCGGCCCGACCCAACTTACTGACACCGCCCACCGCTCTACCCAGTCTGAATGACAGAAAATCCGTTAAATAACGTATTTTGCCAATACGAAATCAGCTGGGATCAGTCGCTGCGACCATATCCACTAGTACACCCCTTTCCGGTAATCTCGTCCGATACCCTTCCCTTTTCCTCTGCGCTCGACATAGGTTTCTTATCGGGACATTAGCGGTGACTTTACCTTCGATTTTTTTTTCTTCACCACAGCCTTTCTTGGCAATATAACATCCCTACTGGAGCCCCATCATCCAAAATATCTTATGAAATCTGAAACGTTTCAGAGAAACAAATTATGAGGTGACCTATTCGGCAGCTCGATGGCCATCTGGTTCAGCAAAGGTGATGGATTGTGTACCTGGAGATTTCATGTGTCTTGAGAAGTATCGTAAGAACGCTGCTATGATCCAGATCTTCTATGAAGAGTTGAATTATGAAACGCTCCAGGAAACACCTGCATACACAGTGAGTTGTTGCCGCTTTAACTACAACTAGTTTTTGTCTGCTTTATACTCTATGTGAATTACCGTAACCCACCGTAATTTGATCACACCATAACCAAGCACTTTGGTTTTACCCAGAAAGCTTTTGAATGCTAAATGCCTCTGTTCGCTACCAACAGCTTTTATCCCAGGGTGCTCATCTATTTCAACTAATTCCTGCGCAAATTTCTATTGAGCAACTGTCATTAACCTCCACTAATGTCACAGAGGTTGACCAAAGCCGATCTTCTAAGCCTGAAAACAGACCCGCCTTCAACCAATCAGTAGCATTCCTTCCTTGCTGAAGTAGTTCGATGCATCAGCGCAAAGGCTCCACCTTTCGCGGCTCCACGGTGAGTGACGAGGGTGCTGCGGCCATCACAAGTTGTAGTTATGATGGTGTACCGTACAATATACCGTACATAAGTGCAACTTATAACGGTCGCAGTGCCCCGTCAGCCATTGTGGAGCCGCGAAAGCGGACGATCTTTGTGATTACGCACTGGAATACTTGAGCAAGCAAGCAATCCTACGAACTGTTTGAGAGCGGAGCCTGTCTTTAATCATCAATAGGGTACCATTTATAGGAGCGCTTCATTGTGTCTAACAAACAAGCTTTCATCCCGCTAACCGCTCGCAGCATAAGTGGAGTTGTAGGTTGGAGTACCAGTCAGGGCCAAGCGCTAAGTCCATAACTGAGCATTGTTTTAATAACTTTACCACAGCTTGTGTTGGTCAGCTTTTATTAGTTCTGGAAGTAGAGGCACAGGTGGGAGAAGCAACGAATATCGACGGCTGTCAACTACACCCCCGCCCTTGCTGACGACAACGCGCTTATGACAACAAAAATCGAGTGAGCTGAGCGAACACTCGTTGATTTCGTTGCGCCTGTGGGACCAGCGCTTCTCAGGTGGAGAAGCTTGATGTTGAGCGAGCTTATGAAGAACACAGATTCCTGTATCCCGTTCGATATCACTGTATGTCCATATCTGAACGCTCCGGCTACCTGAGTCAAGAAATCACCATGAGGAAAGAGCCACTGGATATTCCAAGGAAGTGGCCCGCCTGCGCAGCGTTTAAGAATATCGTGATACTAGCGAAGATGACGAACAACTCCCTCATTTCTTCTCCCTCCGTCTAACGTACTCCTCAGATCTACAGTTCAGATGGTCATACACTTGGCGTCGTTCAATACGCCACTGAGAGCAGAATAATAGAAAAATCTCGTGGATGCAAGTGATGGAGGCAGGCTCCCCATGGGATAGGGAAACGACTTTCCTCCGTTGACAAATCCTTAACCCATGACTGCCCTCGTTCAGGTTTCCGCGCTATGTTGACCACAAAGTTTGGAAAGTGTGCCTTACATTTGTAACCGTACGTCATAGCTGTAGTATCACCACGTGGCACATGTTGCGTCATTGCTGGAACAGTTTTCGCCGACCGAATCTCACGTGATGCTAGACGGACACCTGGGCAACCAGCGGCCTGATTTTCGGACCTTTTCGTAGAAACTTGTCACTTTGTGCGACGTACTAACATGTCGTCACTTTGTCTCCCTCGGGCGAACCACCTTCCCGGCCACTCGAGCGTGGTGCAGAGACCAATGGAAAAGTTGCTGACGTCCGTGCGAAAAGCTCGATGAGCAGTGGAAGCAAATGTGTCACTGGCGGAAAGATCACCAATAGGTAAACCCCGCTGATAGCACTGGAAGCTGTAACACCTGCCACTCATCACTCGCACAATTTTAGGAATTGCATACTTTCTAGATCTGGGAGCAAGAGTCCGTTGATTGTAGAGACAGTCAATTAGTAACCAGATTACTCTCAAAAGGGGATATAGCTCTATCTTGAAGGCGATGGCCCTCTACGAAGCTGATTCTCAACAAGGAATCCCTGTTGTGGACGTCTGTGTCGCTCCCGTCATTTGGGCTGCCACCTACCTATCCCAACTTCTCTTTGAACTCAGGGGCCGTGCTGAATCACAACTGGGAATTTCAAACCTCAACAGCACCCAGTGCATTAACCTCCTCGAACAGCGTTCATCCAGATGTATTTTCGGCACATTTCGGGGACGCGGGAGGGGGCATTTTGCAGTTTTGTTGCTTTACAAATTTCGTTTACATGTTCACTGTGGTGTGTTCATGTGGTGAAACCTGTAAACTCGTGCAAAGCTGGAACAAACTATCGAGCCTACATGGAAGAATATGTCAACTCTTCTGAACTCATACAATAGTTTTCTAGCTGGGTCGACACGGCGATGGACGCCGATGGGAAGTACCAAAAGTGCAAAATGCCCCCGCCCCGCCGCCAAACTGTCCCCTATTCTCTTGTTAGCTGGTGAAGACAAAACTTTTCCGTCTCCTCCATCATCTCACTGCTCAGGTTTATCTTTCCCCCGTCTGTGGACAGTTTTGGAACTGAGCAGTTTTTTGACGCGAACGTCGCCAGCGGTTGACAATCGTGCCACGATTTTCGCCTCCTTTCGAATAACAGCTGCTTCACTGCTGCGCATACGGCAATGTTGGAATGTAAAAATCAATTCTACGAAGTGAAAAAAAGTCAGAAAACCCGATGGGTTACTGACCATATTCCAGAGCCCCACTAGACTCACAACGGGATAAAATCAAGCTCTGAGAATGCTCTTTCTACCCACTTTAAACCTCTGCTCACGGTAACAGCACTGAAAGCACTCGAACAATAAGTTTGTTTAACTTCTGCTGAAGACAACATCATGAAAACTATGCTTTCATGAGGAAAAATAATTAAACGCTTCACTAACATTCGCACTAACTGCATAACTTTTCATCCAGCTTACGAGCGTACTTGCTGACCTGGGTGGTTTGACTGGATTATGGATCGGCGCTTCTGTGGTCAGTCTACTCGAAATTTTCTCACTGATTGTGTTTGCTGCTCAAGCATACGTCAGAAAACGAAAAGGATCAATGTAAGTTTATCCACTCAAATAAACACTTTCTAACGCTCTTCCGAAAATATAGCAAATTTTTGTGTAGAGCTCCCAGCAACGTAGTGCCTCTGCGTTTCTTACCCTGAGCAAGGGTTATGCGTAGGACGTAGACAACCAGGATGGCTGAGGTATAGTTCCGTAGAGAAAACAGTCTCCAAGAAACTTAGGCCTTGATCAGAGGAAGGCACTGCCGAGTAATCCCACTTACGTCAGCGCCCAGAAACCTTCAACCCTACTGCTCACAATCGTTTTCTTCCCAATCCTAAATCAGAGAAATGGAGTAGAAGCGGCGCTTGTGAAATGTCACGGTTTTGAAGATTCAGCGTGCAGATTTTGAATGACCAATAAATGTGATTTAGGATCACGTTGATCCAGACAAACTATTGCACTAAGATGCCCCTTAATACTGGAGTGGCGCTCACTCTTCTCTACTTCTACTGTTTCCTTGTCCACAGTAACTAGTAACGCATACGGAGGAATCCGATCGAATAACCTTCCTCGGTTGCTTAGGACTTTTTAGCAGATTCTTGGAACCCGGGGCAACAAGATTTGGGAGGGGGTACATTGCGTGGCCAGTACCTGTCAACTTCTGCGCCCTCACAGTCCTTCATTTTCTCTTTCCTTTTCCTTCTTTACCTCTCTTTAAACCTTAGCAAAACAAGAAGAGACTCTAACAGCGAGGGAGAGGTCGGAGCTGTTTTGTACCAGCCGCGGCTAGTTCTGACCGTCTGCGTTCTGAACGAGCTAGTGGTCCTCCCTGGTTCAGACATGCCAGATGACCAATGGAGAGGTGCCCTTGACACAGGCGAGATTCCGCAGTCCGTGAACCGCTGCTACCGTGACGAGGCCACTGTGACAACCCGTGTTCCTCTCTAGGCTCAGTGCGCGCGCGAAGCACGTCTGCGCGGGGGAGTCAATGTGGTGTGGCCAGAGCGCTGTCGAAAGTGTTTCATACGTGGGGAACTGAACCAAACTTGTGGAATACGGTTGCAGCGATATCTCTGACTGCAGTTTCTTGTGTGTTCGCCTCGCCGCGGCACCCGCAATTCCAGCAGCGCCTAAAGCCCTCTTCTTCCAACAAAATAACGGTTCGGAATATTTTAGTGTTTTAATTGTGTTTGATTTTAGTTCATCGTCATCATTAACGCAATTGGCGGTGAAAAAACAGTCACGTGCTTCCGAACACACCCTTCACAAGGCAAGTATGAATACCAGGTTATCCATCCAAGACATTCTATCCCTTCAGTCTAATCATTCCTCACGATCGAAACAATCAATATTGATCGAAGATCTGCCATCACCTATCCAAGTATGTTCTTTTCAATTCATAAAGATCATCACCCTCGTGAAAAAGTACCTATCCAGGAACAGACAGATGATGAGGAAACTTCAACCTCCTCATCATCTGAAGAAACAAGTGGGACCGCCGCAAGTTGCCGGTACCTTGCTCCCGGCGAAGAACTCCCATGCCTCTGTAAATATGACTCCGAAGGAAATATTCGGGTAATGAAGGCACTGTGTCCTGTTCATGGATATCTAGTTCGAAGAGGATATGACTACAGGTAAGTGGATTCTTATTTCTTAGACAGCGTTCAGACTTTGCAATGACGCGCGTCGACGCGCTGCAACGCGCTACAATTGCAACTGCGCACCAATCCCAAAGACGCGAACACAACCGCAGATGTAAATCGTCGTCGCCGCCCTATCGATCTGTGCCGATCAATAACAGCTGCGCGATTAGGCAACGCGTGCCTCCACCCCCCCCCCCATGCTCTCTCAATATATAAGCGGCGCCGATCAAACCCGTCTGCGGCTGTTTTCGCGTCTAACAAACCGGAGAGCTGCGACAGCTGCAGCGTTACAGCGCGTCGACGCGCGTCATCGCGAAGTCTGAACGCTGCCTTAGGAAGCTCACTAGTTTTGTGCGCATAACGTGCCCTATTTCAGTGTTACTAATAGTGAAGAGGAAGAACCGGAGGATGACGAGGTACATAAAGAAGAGCCTTACTATGCCGAACCATTCGTACCTAGAAAGTCAGTCAGAGGTCCATTTACTTAACCCCAGCCAGCGCCGACAAATGCTTGCTCCATCGAAAATATGTAGATGTTCTTCATTCTATAGAGGTTTCTCTGCTAAGGAAATCTCCGTTCCTTCAAGATCCCAGTGACAAGCAACAAGGCTGGAAATTCTTAGGATTAACCAGACATAGACTAGTGCTTCAGTTTTCTTCCTAACTTTACAGGGCATTTCCATTCACTTTCAGGAGTTCCAGAAAGAAGAGTAAGAAAAGCAAAACGGGTCGAAACGGTCAAGTGTCTGAACAGAACACACCTGCCCGATCATCACATGAACCATGAAGGCGGATCTGAAGAAATCAAAACCCGCAGCTTAAATTTTATACATATCTCATACGTTTAATGAAGTTTCGGTTATACCTCATCAGAATGGAGACGTGTTTTACATTCAAAGAAAATGGTTGGACATAAGTCAAGGTTATAAGGATAGAAAGAGATAGCCACGCTAATCCCGCCTTTTTCTAGATAGCCATGGACAGCCAGAAAAACTGAGTAGAGCTATGTGCACTCGGTTCAATCAGTTCTACGCGCAGTTTGGGGTACTGTATACTTTCTGTTTTCTGAGCTGAAAAAGCAGTACCTTTATGATGTTTTCCATGGTTTCTCCTCCCATCACTGTGAAATGCAGCTTATGAAGTCCATCATCTTGCAACAAATACATCGCCACAATTGGTTGACCAAAATCACGCTCCCAAAGGATTTCACCTAGAAAATAGATTAATTCATGGATTCCCCAAGACCAATTCAGGCTAGATTTGGGCGACTAAAACACCGATAAATCTGGCTCAACAGACATCCTCTGTAAGTGCGTTCATACTTCGCGACATTATCGCTCATAGTGCTCATTAAGAGCGAGTGCGAGGGCGCTCTACCGCCGGCGGGTCATAACGTCCCGCTATAATGGATAGAAAAGAGGAACACAAATAATCGAGCCGCGCAAAGAAAAGTGTATTTATTAAACTAGAGAATCAGAGACTAGGAGTCGGTGATTGTTAAAGGGTTAGATGGAAAGCGATTGTTCCGTTTTCCGATTCTCTTAATCTCATGGACAGACTCGATAGTGGAAGGAGTCGACTGATTGCTTAGTCCCCGAACAGAATTTTCCCGTTGCCGATGGTTCCCGTTCCGGGTGTGTTGCACCTGGTTCCCTTAGTTGGTGGTCGGGCAAAATTAGTATGTATGTAACCACAATTTTGGTCACTGGTTCTGATAGTTGATTGGGCAGGACCTTACATGCCTTTCCAGTTTTTTTTGGGAGAACTGAAAATTTGTTTGGAAAACTGATGTGAAGTGAGAAGAATTTGAAAAGATGGCAGGTAGGATGGGAAAGAGACTTGTACCAAAAAAGGAAATCCTGAGCTCCCATTAGAAGAGGTAGGGGAAAGGGGTCCTACTGACACCGCCACTTTATCCATCCCCATGCTGCACCCTGTCTCCAGCGATGCGAAGTATGAACGCAGTATAACAAATGGAATACTCCAACGTTTAGTTTAGCCATAATCGGAATAAATGTTTTGAGCACTCTCTCTGTGATTTTTTTGACGGTTTCCACCAAGTAATGATTTTAGCCTGTCTCTTCTTTGACGTATTCTTGCTCACAAAGCGAAAACCAAGTGTACACATCGACATTACCTTCTGCAGTGTTGAGGTAAAATACTATCTTGTAAACATCTTCTCCTGGTGATTCTCATTGGTCACCGTTATTCATAACTTATCAATCTTCCTAATGGGCAAGGTCACCAGTAACCCCCAGTATTGTCGTCTTCGCACGTTCGGGACCAAAGATCAGGATTTCGTGGGTGGATTTCCTCCAGTCACATAATGGGGAAGACCAACCTCCCAGCTTTGTCAGTATGGTCCTTTTTTTCAATCGCTTTGACAGGCAGCCTTTCCGTCTTTAGTTTACAAGGCTTTTCTCTAGTTCTGTAGGGCTTCCCTTACTAAACGGTGCGCCTTCGGGAACATTCCAAAAATTTTGATTTGAATGATGAAGGAAGGCAAAAATTCGCTATCCCGAATAAGCTGTTGAAGCTTTTCACCAATTAGCGGTGGAGCCAGCCTACAACACCCTCGTGTTACCCATACAGAAGGTCTCATTTAATCGGGGCAGGGATTCCATGAATGCGCTCTCGAGGAATGCGGAGTATCATGAAGCGTACATTGTTCGTCACATCGCAGATTTACTCGCATAACTCAACCGATACGGCGACTCAACGGCTGACAGAGGAGCGCGGGGAATCGATCTCCGTTATCAACATGGGTGAAAATGCGGTCCATTGCTGATCACGAGTCGCTTGAATCGGACGACTCAAGCGACTGATCGCCGGTGTCGCAAACCATGAACTAAATCTCATCTTTTGGGGAGACAACGGCGAAGTTTAACTGCGTTTTAACAAACGATCACTTGTAAACTGAAAAAAAAATTGGTGGAAAAATGTGGGATTAAAAATTGGAAAGGAATAAAATTAAGAGAGATAGTCGATAGAAGATGATAGATGGTGATATGAGACGATAGAAACGGAACACCAACGAGTATCAAAATTTTGGAGTTACCGGAGACAGGTCACGTCAAGCGTCGGGAATCCCCAGCTAAGGAAGGTCGTATCTGGTCGCTGACGAGAGGGGTCGTATTTGATCTCAAGAAAAATGATCTCGTTGGTTGACTTTGCTCGTTTTTCCCCTTCTTCACGTGCATTTATGATCATCTGGCTACACAGCCACAGCTACAGCAGTCTCTTGGAAAAAGAAACTGGAGAACCTTCCGAGGAAAACTCCGGAAAATGGTAGGAAAATGCAGAATTCACGAGAACAGTGGGTAGAGTGGCGATGAGCAGAGCGAACACGCCTGCTGCATCTATCTCGGTAAATTCCCAAGGTACTTTTCCCCCAAGGCGATGTGGTGTTCTGCGACCGGCTATTCGTTGTAAGCAAAGCAATCGCTGTGAGAAAATGGCCTAACCACAGACATATGATTTGGATTTCGAGAATGATGAGAACCACTGCTATCGAAAAAGACGAGGAGTCCTGCGCCGGGTTACAAGAACATAAAAAAGGCGGGAAAAACTCTCGAACCACAAAACTGACAGTTCAGCAGAATGATACAGACATTAACGAAGAGCAAAAAAATGTGAAACGAGCAAGTTTAGAAAATGGATATGAGTACACACTCTGATCGACTGATGGTAAAAGGAAAACAATTGTAGACAGTGGTGAGGACAAATCCTAGAAACACGTAAAATCTGTGATTTCCAACTTTTCCACTCTTTTCCACAATATGTATTAGGTTGGCGGGAAAGTTCTGTCACATTTTTTCAAATTAGACTTTCTTTTTACAGAGAGGCGTACAAGATCAAAATTATACAGCAATGTTATTGAGAGATCCTTGCCAGTTTTTGGACAGTTCGTGGATGCCATCGCTTAACAATGCACGCCGGCGCGACGCAAAGTTGGACATCATCTCAACTTTGACTTGGGCTCAAGTCGTGGAGGTTTTCTCGGCTGTATAACGGTTGAATACGGGAGGCGACTAGCAGTCAGAAAGAGCAATGTCTGGACTACACCGGTGCAAGGGGAGAGCCATCCAGCTCTATTGCATGAAGTACGGCTCGAACTTTTTTTGACGGGTGTGCTGCACCAGCACGTTGAAGACGGACTGTGCCGATGGATTTTGCCCTCTGCTTGACGATTCGCTTCAGATCTCGTAGCTGCCTTGCGTACGGATTGACCGAGGAGGCAGCTTCTTCATCCAGTAGTTTCCCGACCCACCGCTATCTAGAGCTGAGTTTACAGGTACTCCCGAACCTCACTTCGTCATTCGAACCGTAGGCTCCCGCTCTGAAGAGCTAGCGTCGTGGAAGATTGTCTGATGACTGTAGACATTGTCCTTGTGCAGCTCCATTATTTCGGCGTCGACAGCTGCCATGCTGGCGCCAGGGTGGTAGAAGAAATAGTTTAAGGAAGCGCTTGAAGGGGTCGGTGCTGAAGGTAGCGGATAACATTCTTGTCCATAATGCAGAATAAGGATGAGCAGGAGCCGAGCCAGTGACACTAATAGAAAGATCAATCCTTAATGTATAAATGCTCACATTACCGGTTAGCCCTCTTCAGGTAATAGGCGAATACTTGGGTTCAAAAAAGTATGACAGAACTTTCCCGCCAACCTAATATTTTCCCGAATGTAGGAAAAACGGGCGTAGTTCAGGAGGAGACGCACTTCCGCTCAGGGCACAGCATCGTTGAGTGAAGCACATAAGGGGTCGTACTTTTCCGCTGGAGAGGGGGTCGTATTTGGTCGTTGGGAGAGGGAGGGTAGTATGCGCCTTCAAGAGCAACTCGTTGCGTTGGAGAAAAAATTTTCCAGTTTGTTGACTTTCCGCTTGATTTTTCCTGTTTCGTGTGCATTATATGCCCCCGCCCCGTCCAACGGAACATCTTTTGATGGAAAACTGCAAAATGTGGGAAGTTGGTAGGTAGGTGTTAGGGAAGACGGGGGGAGGGGTCGTACCGAGACTCCCATTTAGTTGGGGAGGTCGTACTGACACCCACTCATCACGGTGCTGCACCCTGCCTCCGCTACTTCCCATGATACCACTACTACTACTCACTCTCAGCACCTAGCAAGTGTGACAGGTACTTTTTTTTACAAGTTTTGACAATAGTCTCTCCAGCCTTGCCTGAAATCACTTCATGACTTCGCAAGATGTAACAGACCTCTACTTGATGTCTCGCAAGGACGATGAAAAGTAGCAAAATTGCAAAATGCCGTCCAGCCCCTCTCCCCTCCCCCTCCCCCTAAGCCGCACTGCGCCGAAAATTGTTGCGAAAACAAAACATAGGAATAGATGAATAAGGAAATGAAAGAGGAAAAAAAAATTCGATTCCTGTCACTGCTTGGCAACCTCTCGAAAGCGCCATAAAAACGCGTGGGAATAACCTGGTTAGAAGAAAAAAAGACAAGAATACAAACAAAGAAAGAGTTTAATACTACCTCCAGATCCAACAGTAACAATGTTTCCATGAGATACGTAATGGCGGTAAGGGTAGTCGTTGTTTGCTGGAATTAAGAGAATATAATTAATAAATCAGTAAATAAGAATATAATTGATAAATAAGTAAATAATAATTAATAAATAATAAAATGGTAAATAATAAGATCGGAAGTGATTTATTAGAATTTCGGCGCGCCTCGGTTTGGTGAAATCTCCAAATAGTGCTCAACAATGCTTGCTTGCAGAAGGCTCACTCGCACCCTTTTCTCAGCTCCACAAAAGTTCAAAGGTCTGAGCAAAGAGAGACTTCTTAGCCAGGACGAACTCAAAATAGGAAGTGTAAAATTCTTCCCCCTCCCCTCTCGAGCTGGACAGCACCAAAATTTTCCTGCTAAGAAGACACCAAAGGCGAAGACCGCGCTGGAAACGCTAGCGAGGTTAAGTGCATATCTATTGAAGCATAAACTCACGAAACACCTCGCCCACATTCAGCGCCTACCCTTGACTTAAATGAGCACGGTTCAACTTGAACAGCAATCATTGATCTAAACTTAATCTAAATGGATTCAGAAGGGTCGGTGAAGCAAATCCTCCAGTACTCCGAGCTTGACATTGAGTGTGGCGTGCGCATCGACAAAAGATGAGCATGCCACAAGCTGTGGGCATGTCGCAAATAGGTTCGTACTGTTGAACCTGAGACGATTGAGAGCTCACAGCGAAAGTTTTGGCACGCTGCCAAAGTACGCAACCAAAAAGCTGCGGAGTACAATTGTGGCTCAAAGAGGGAGCAGACAAGTGGAGTGTCTATCTGTGGCTAAAGGTGTGGTAGGTCGTGCGGCGCAATTTACCTGCCGGTGTAACTATAACAATCATCCAGCCTTGTTGTCGCAATTTCTTTGTTCTTGCCGAAAAACTGTAGAACTGGCCACTCTTCCATGGATAAGATCTATCTTACAGGTAAGCGGTGAGCTCTCTGGTGGCTCTCACACCTATGCTTTTAAATTCGCTGGATAAAAATATACGTTCCTTCCTCGGCGTTAGCGCGGCTATTTTCGCTGTATTTTGATATCGGACTCATGTCTAAGCAAATATTCTCCATACACATCATGCAACAAAGAAGTATGATATAAATTTAATGGTACGTAATGAGTCAATGATGCTCTTTGGTGACGCCCATAAACCAAATGAATGGATAGCTAGCACAAAACTATGCATAAGTGTTCAAAAAATCATTTTGGAGGAGGGAGCGTTTTTTTCTGTCAAAGAGGTTTTATTAAAAGCAGGGAAAACTACTGGCAAAACTACGGGGAAGATGCTTCGAGTTGGTGAATGGTTCACTGGTCCCGCAGCTTGTCCTCAAGTTTAGATAAAAATCCACAGTCCTTGACTAATGATCGTTTCTTGCAGCTCATAACGATGAAGATAGCCACATTTAAAAAATCGAAAAGCAACGTCGAAACGAAGTCCACAACTTCAAAAACTTTTTGTGCAAAGCTTCGCTTGCGGGAAGCTGATGAACTCTGTTGCACCAAACGGCCCGGGTATTGCACTAGCGCATCAAATCATTTTGGACATAAATATCAGTGCAGTTCGGCTTCGGCGGGGGAAGAAACACTTTGCACCTTTGTGACTTCCCTTGGTCGTGTTCTTTCCTTTGCGAGAGTTGACACAGTGGTTCCTACAAAGTTTTGCTGATATCAATACGCAGCTTCACAAGTTATCACAAACTCGACACGAAATTACAACAATTACAATTAGAAGTAGCGAAATGCACAATGAGCCCCCACCCCTACCCCCCCCCCCAAGCCGACCTGCGTCATATATAATAATAAACGCATAGGTAAAAGAGAATAACGAGAAAAACCTGAGGGAACAATAAGAGTTATGTGGTGAAATTACCTGGTAAAAGGTGAGCGGTATAGTCCGAGTAGGTAGTGTTCCATGTTTTAGCGCGATTTTTCGTGTCAAACATACTTATCTGAAATTAAAATTCGAGATTTCGACAGATCACAATGCAGACCGCTCAAGTGAATACAAACACTAAACAATGAAGGTACGAACCCGGTATTCAGTTCGTCCGACAAATACGCCATTGTGATGCTTTACAGGACAAACTTTGTCACTTGATGCCGACAATGTTTCCACCTAGATAGGAAATACGCATTATGAGCGAATAAACAGCAGTTTGAAACCTCACCTTGGCTCCAGTTAAAGGATCAATCTCCAGCCATACGTCTCTCTTGCTACCTTAAATTTCACAAAAGAATGTGCAAAAGCTGAGATCAAACAACAAATAAGTAGCGACAGCGGTTACTACAAAGTAACGAAAGGAAGCCTTGGATTTGAGCAAAATCCGATTTTCAATTCCGAGTAACTACCAGAAAAATCACAAGAGAACAAGAAAATGAGTAACATACCTGCGTACAAGACTCCGTCAGTGCTTTTCAAAGGAGAAGCATGGACCAAAGCTGGTATGTTCAACGGCAGTCTTTTAAGAATGCCTTCCTTCAGGGTGTAGAGCGATCCGTCTTGTGGATTTGGAAGGAAGGTAAATCCCTGCTTGACAGTTGTTGGAGCTTGCAGTACGGGATCTGCAACATAACATTACAAAGCAAATATATGACCACCAAATATTTCTGATGGCTATTGCAGAGAATACTATCGCTCCTTGAAAAAAAAAACAAACAAAAAGGGATTAAATTGTGTGATTCGAGGCTCATTCTACTAAAGTGGAGCAAAAAACCTAGTCCAGCGCTTTTTGCCCAATAAGACAGGATACCCTGCAGGGTGCAGGGGTGGAACTACTACTGATCGGTATCAGCGACACTCACAATAAAAAGTACACGAATATCCATGAAGAAATGGACTGATTGACCTACGCTGACCACAGCGAGACTCAAAATTGGTATTTACATTCGAATCGACCGAAAGCCTACCTTCCCTTAAGTTCCCTATGTCGCGCCAGGGACCTCAAAGCGAAATGTTTTAATGAACGTATCCTCAGCTCCATACATGCAAACGAAAATCCGATACCACAATTATTGTGCTCGTCCAAGGGTAGTATCTCATAAAACATTCACGCTTACTTTGCTTGGGTTTTCGTTTTTTTTTTGTTCTTAACATTGAACCGTTGCACTTGACCACGTTTGAACTTCCGAGGATGATCAATCACTCGAAATGTATACCGAATACGAGTAGCGGCCCCAACAAAATACTAGCTAGACCTACTAAAGCTAAACCTGCACTAGCTGTGTTAACTAAACCTCAACCTTAAAAGGCACAAGAAGTAACACAGATTACAAATAACTATGTGAAAGGTACAAGTCAAAAAATATTTACAGTGATTTCAATAAGATGTCTGCCTCTGTCCTGAATCCGAATGTAAAAGAAATAGCGAGAAAGTAAGTATGGTTGCGTTCATAGTTTACCACTCGGGAGGAACGGCCTTTTGAGAAAACAAGAAAAGAGCAAAGCAAATAAGCATCTGACGTTTTGAGAGAATCGGTATTTGGATGGTATGGGCGTTTTGGGTGCCGAACAAGACCTACATTATCTTTTCTCGCTCAAGTGCCGATTCTTCCGAATCTCAAAGTATGAACGTAGCCTAGGACAAAATACGTTACGAAAGCCAAACCTCCTTGTAAAGTCCATCTCGTATCTCCTGTTCCTGGGTTTAAAGCGCTTAGTTGACCATCGATGGTGCTCACCATGACAGTACCATACGATGCACCAATACGAGGTACTACATCCTGTAACAAACGCGTGCAGATAAAAGATCATTCAGCATATGTTTCGGCGCGGTTCGGCGTAGGAAGGCATTATTTTGCAGTCAACTATTTCCCTTTCGAGAATTGCGCTGTCCCGAGCCTCACGGCATTTCTTATTCAAATGTTCAAAGCAAAAAGAAGCTCCAGAAAGTTTATTACTTTTTCTTTTTTACTTTACTTCAGTACTATAAACAATGAACTGAACAGCGAAAACAAAATATAGTCAAGGAGAGGAAACACAGATTTCCGATTTTTGATATTTCATTGATCAGTAACAAGCTCCTGTGAAGCTGAAATATGGTATAAGTGAGATACTTTGGTCACAGGATTTCAGAGGTCTTCATAAGACGGCGTGAACAAGCTTCGCCACTTAGCGATCCCCACCAAGCCGAACAGCGCCAAATTTTCTAACACAGTAGGAAACTGGAGGGAGGGAAAAATGGTAATAACCTACATCGAAATCGTCCAAAGCTACAACTGGCCGAATTAGAAGAAGAATTGCAACTAGTATCAGCATGACTCTGGTAGAGCCTGCAGATTGTTGGAAACCAACGAATCTACGACACTTAGATCTGAATGCCTGAAAAGGTAATTAGAATAAAGGTGGTCAAAAAACAGCACAACTGCAAGTACCAAGTAAATCGAAGATACTACTCCAATAGAAAGGGAGAATTTTGTGCAAAGCGCCAAGACATTGAAAACCACGGCAGACATTTTCTGTTATCACAAGAAGCAGCGAAGAAACAAGCAGTGGGCTGAGGATGTTCGCCTGATCCTACGGGAAAGGAGCTGCCAGGTGACCAACCACCTTGACCCTATCTTACTATACCCGTTCCCATTCTTCCCTACGGTAATGAATAACTATCCCTGTTTGATTGCCGTTCTAATCAAAACTGCTCAATAACGCCTAGGTCGCATTCATACTTTGCGATTAGGGAGAACTGGCGACTTGAGCGAAGAGGAAAGCATAGGAGAATAGAAGAACAGTCGTTATAGAGAGAATGGTAGAACAGGAGTGTGGTAGACAACTAGATCAGGCGTCACAAAATAGGGCCCGTAAAGAGTGCGATTACAGACGTCCTATGACGCCTAATTTAGCAGTCTGCCACTCTTCTGTTCTCCCATTCTTCTCCCCCCTCCGGCCCTCTCCCTCCCCATCGAATCGAGCTGTCGAGCGGGGTACAGTGCGCATGAAACAGGAAAATCACCAAAAGTCAACCACCACTCCTACAACGCCAAAACGTAAATACGACCCCCCCCTCCCAACAATGACCAAGTACGACCCCCCCCTTTACAACGTCCGTGAAGCGAGAAAAATCAACTATCAAAATAAATTTTTCCCAGCCCAAATACGATCCCGCCCCCTCTCCTGGACGGCCAAATACGATCTCCCCTATTGGGGATTCCCCAACAACGATTGCCCTGCTCCCGACTCGCAAAGTATGAACGCAGCCTTATAATTACTGGAGCACTCTCATTCAAGTTTCTAAAGAGCTGGTTGGCACGACCATCGTTCTGCACGGCTTACTTACAGTTAATCCCTTATATGGCGTTTTTCGTGAAATGCGAAAAAGGTCAATGGATTATGGCAATAACTACAGTAAGTCCCCTACAGCTATGGAATGTTACGAAGTTCGTTTCTACTCGTTTTCATTAATATTCATGTAGGATGCTATGTTGTGTTGGAATGAACGAACAAACAATTATGAGCCAGAGGACGAGGATTTTTGGCCCAGACTTGATGGCGAGGTGAATGAAGCTCCCTAAGTCACTTCAAACACCTCTGAGCTCTATCCCCCTGGCCTTTGGGAGAAGCTGTTGCTGATCATTCATAGCACCGGGGCGGTGTTTTTATGCGTTCAAAAGGTCATCTGTGCTCTCCATCAGGATGCCCACCCATACTGGATTAGTTTTCATGAATGTTTTAAAGCCTAACTATCCATGGACAGAACGACAATGTGACAACTGATGGCGCAGGCGTGAAATGGAATTTTCGGCATGTCCGCATAGCATAATCACCAGTGTTTGACAGAAAACCAGTTATGCCCGAAAACTTTACAACTGACGGCGAACACCGTACGGCAGAGCGGTCAGTATGGGACAGACCTCAAACTTGGCCAACGCACAGCATATGTGCATGTGTAAAATTTCCGACCTCCTCTCTCAAAATTTCTCCTTGTTTGCGATCTCTTCCCAACCTATCTTCCATCGAGCGGAGAGGACAGTGCTCTCCAAACAACTACCACAATCTACTATAAGAAAGGGTGGCTCTATAGTAGTTTTACGGCGCTGCCAATTAAGGGAAGGCGGGGAGGGTGCATGAAGCGTGGAATCGGTAATTCTTTCTCGAAACGTGGAAGCACTTTTAGGACGCCCCGCTCCATGGAGCAGAGTGCACCCTCCCCCTCCCCGCCCTAATGACATTCCTTCAATGATGAGCGCTTACAACGAGAAAACCAACTACCAGTTTTTTTTTCGCGACGGCAATCAAAGTCTCCTTGCCGCGGGCGATGGAACGTATCAGCACTGCTGTATTTGGCACGCCGCCAGCCGTTCTCCACCAGCTGCAGGGGAGGATAACAACAACTGGTGGAAAATGACTGACACGACACGACGTTACAGGTGCAGTACAGTCTTGTAGCTTAAAATAAAAAAAAGAAACGAGCTGACCCTGTGCCACCCTTGTACTGATATGTACGCTCTATTATTCGCAGCGAACGATGCTATATGACCCCCCCCCGTTGTGTTTTCCATGACGGGTGATCTGCCCTGAATCTAACAATGCACCGAACTGCAATAATATCTACCAATGATCACAACCGCAGAGAAAATAATAAATAGTAGTGCCATAACCGTTTCAGGACGATCACCAGAAAGCAAAATCGTTTTCCGAAATCAGAAATAAGCAGCTGGCGTTCAACTGGCTTCAAAAATAGTTCACTTTTGGAAATAGGTTTGCAAATTTGGCGCCAGTCCAAGTCTTTACGAGTTAGCACATGCCACGTCTCATAGCGCATCACTGGTGAGAGAGAGGGGAAAGGCGCTTCGAGGTGGGCGAACCGATTTTCATGTAGTTTGAAAAATTCTGTTTGCAGTAAGGGGCTGGTCATGTGTACTGTAGCTCCCTCCTCTGGGCTTAATGTGAGACGGAAAGAACATATAAAAACACAAAAAAATAAAAATGTGAAAAGAATCAAAAAAGTGTGGAAAGAACAGATTCCAGGAGACTCGACTCAGTGCCAGTGGAAGACGGACAAGACAATCATAACTTGTCGGGAACGGGGCATCGTGCGGAGGTGCGCGTTAACTTTTTGGTAGGTAATATTTGTCGATTAAGCAAGCTGCAAAACTCGTGAGAACTCAGACGGAGGCAAAGCTCCGTGCCAAGTGATATCGATCTTTCTCGTACCTACGCTCAGCTAGGACAACTCGTCTCTCGTGTGCGCGGCGCCGCTGTCCGCGCGCGGCATATTACGATTGTCTTATCACATCGCCGCTCACGACATGTCATAAGATGACAAGTGACACATTCTGACATTAACGTATTGAACTGCAAACCTATACTGAACTAGCGCGATACTGTAAAGGCAGACTTCGCGATCAGCCAGCGAAAAGTTTGTTGGTAGCAGGGTTAGAAATAAAAGGGTGCGCGATAGCTGATTTGCCCGTAAAGAACAAAAGGAGGGAAGCCACCAAAAACGCTACAAATAAGGCCCTAGCTGTGACAAGCGAGAGACAAAGAGTCGATGTGGATATCGGGAGAGAGGCCAGACAAAGCAGCGAGAGAGCATGCAAGACGAGCAAGACAGCAGATTAGACATCTATCAACCGGGCGGAGTCGCTTGAGCAAGCTTGTGCCTTACCGCCACCACCTCACCTTTTTGCGACGTGAAACTTATACGGGGTTGTTCGTTGCAGCCCTACCCAAGAGCTTTGGTTACTATGGGTGATCGTGGGCTCTCCTTTTAAGCATAGAAAAAAGACAGCATATCTAAACCGAGCTGAAACCCAACATTTTCACGTTCCTTTTTTCAGACAAGCTCTGAAAAATCACCCCAGTTCAAACAATAGATGGTGCTACCCTTTACTAGCGATCAAAGATGAGCAGACGCTTCAATGACAGTAACACCGCCAAGTCTTATGGAAATGCACTTTTGAAACTCGCATCAGAGTTTTCACTGTAACGAGTCAATAACAGAAACATCAGGACAGCTATTCAGAGGGCTTAATCATCAAAAGCTCGCAGACCCCAATGCTGACGCGTAGTTATGCGAGCAGCTGTTTATATTTGAAAAATAGTGAAAGATTTCCAGAAGTTGTAATGCATACAAAACAACAATGACCTTCTCCGCAATGATTCAATTCTTTCTAAAAATTTCATCACGCAACAACGATTCGAAAAAAGATCGCGCGTGATACTATCAAGAACTGGGGAAATACCACGAATAAAATCTTCTATAACCTATAAAGAGTTATATAGTAGACGAAGATACTAGCAGAGTGTTCAGTCAAATCCCAGGACTTGCATATTCCTTAGAAACCAGCACTGCGGGTTTAGAACAATGCGAAAGTGGAAAAAAAAACTACAAACGAAATATTGCACAAAGCTGAAAATTGAAAATATCTAGCGAATTTCACAACAAATAATAGGAAAATTACACCCAAAAGCTAGAGTATTCCTTCCGTTCAATATTTCTGCAGCGAAACAAAGTGCAAACTAGAAAAACCAATCGCGCAGTTCATGCGAAGGTTTGTGACCGTCACCTAAAAATACCACTCGCCGCTGGTGTAATTGCGTACCCACGATGATCACCGTAACAACCAAGATTGAGACTGTGCAGGGCAGATCATTGGTTGGGGAATTTGGTCGAGTCCCCCCTTGTTTAGGGGGTTGGTACGACCCCCTCCCTAGTCCTTTTATCTGTCGAGGGGGGGGTGGGGTATATAGTACACATGAAACAGTAAACACGAAAAATCACTATTTATGAAAAGTCAGGCAACCCTCTTCAGAAGGTCAGAACTGTCAAAATAAATTTTTCTCAGCCCAAATACGATCCCCTATTGGGGACCCCCAGCAACGATGTGCCCTGGTCTGGACGCGCTCAGTTTTGGCTGCTGGCTCATTTATGAAGTGGCTAGATCACCAAATCCACAGAAAACTAGTGGTGGACACCACGATTATCTACGCTGTGCTAAGGTTGAGCCCAGAAGATAAGCGTGGTGTCTTCCAGCGCCAAGAAGGAATTTCATATTCGTAGTCAAGGAATCGTAATCAGGAATCGTAATCAAATAACTCCTGTATGAAGTTTCCTGCGGATTCGGTGATCTAAGCGCTTCATAAATGAGCCAGCAGCCAAAACTGAGCCAAACGGCATCAGCCATCATGCCTAATTCTCCCTCGGAGTTCCATTTCTTGTCAAAGCACAGCTTGTATTCGATCGCTGACTGTAAGAGAGAGAGAGAGAGGAGAAGAGAGTAAGAGAGAGAGAGAGAGAGAGAGAGAGAGAGAGAGAGAGT